TTTGCTATATTTAAATACCTTTTGCCCTGATTTTATGAGGATTAACATCGCTCATGTCATTCGAGAAAGATATTTAAATAAGGGGAACTATCATACCCAAAATTTTACCCCTTATATGTCATCAACATTTACATGAGCATCATAGGTCAATCATCCTTGCATCATTAACCAAATCATCAAGCTTGTGGTTTTGTTTGTTTTGTGGAATTAGGGTTTTGTGGAGTTAGGGTTTTCTGGAATTAGGGTTTTGTGGAGAAGAGGAGGAAGCCCTGATTAATCAAGACTTGAAGGGGGAATCAACCAAAAAAGTCCTCACACATTTCATGGGTTCATAAGAGGTCATTTGGTCTAAAGAAATCCAAGTCAAAAGTTTCTTAAGTCGATAGGAAAGGCAATGGCTTCATCTGATTCAAAAGTCAACTGAGGCATCACAAAATTCAACTCTAAGATTTGGAGGTTTTAGTCCATGATGTTATATGGTTGGATCATCAAAAGTCAAGTTGGAACAATAAAATTAGGAGATTTAAGAATTAGGGTTTCTTGATGAAAATTTTCTAAGTTAAAAAGTCAACATTTTCAAGGCCAAATTCAAGATGGTTTCAAGTGTAATTTGCATTGGTCATCAACATGGAAGTTGTAGATCATCTCTTTAGATTTCTTTTGATACCTAGAACTCCTCAATATCATTTTTAGAACTCAATATATGATGCTTACAAGTAGAGGTCAAAGTAGGGCAAAGCCTAGGGCAACATTTTTGCAAGAACTTCCAATCAAGGCCTCATGGACTTCTTGACCTCAAAAAAAAAATTGCTACAACATAGAATTTATTCCTCTTGATCTAATATTTCTAAGCATATAAAGAAGTACTCAATTGGATCAAGGAGTGAAAATTTATGGCATCACAAAGTTTGGTGATTTTGAGCACAAGCTAGGCAATTTGCCTTAGTTGCCAAGGCACTTCCAAGTCATGTTTTTGCTCAACTTGCAAGATTTCTTTTTTATACTTCCAAGTCTCAAAAGTGTAAAATATCAAAGTATTTCCATCTCAGTTTTCCAAGCATGTGTAGAACTCTTTCATTGGAGTCCTGTAGCAAAAGGTATGGCGTGAGGAACATAGGTGCCAAGGCTTGAAGCAACTTGCCCAAGTCATGGCCATGCCTGCGTACCAAGCCCTGGGCCAGTGTGTAAGGTCAATTTTCAGAATTTTTTTCCATCCTACCATTGTATTGGAAAAAATACACCATATTGCCATAAGTCCTAAATGATATACCATATTGCCATAGTTTCAAAAAAATTAAATTTTTGGTACAAAGGAGTCGCCCTTTCAATGGGCGGAAGGGTGAATTTTTATTATGTGCCGCCTTTTCAATGGGCGGCAGTGTCCACGAAATTTTGTTTTATTCTTTTTATTTAATTTATTTGTTTCTTTAAGTTTTAATATATTATTTTTATAAATAATTATTATGAATAATATATTTAAAAAATTAAATTAAATTATTATAAATAATAATTATGAATAATATATTTAAAAAATTAAATTAAATTGTTATAAATAATAATTATGAATAATAATAATAAGAATAATTAATAATAATAAATAATAAATATAAAATAATGAATAATAATTATGAATTATAAATAATAATTATGAAAAATAATAATTATTATTATGAAAGTGGATAATAATATAATTAATAATTCTATATACAATAAAAAAATAAAATAGTAATAAAATAAAATAAAATAAAATAAATGAATTGAAATAAATATTTATTTATTCTCGAAATTAAAAAAGTACATTAAATTCCTGTCCACCCTTAATTTTGACCCGGTCGACGTAAGCGTTGGTGGTTCCATAGGCAGGAGCATGTACATGTCTGGTGGACCTTCTACGATCAACATTAACGTTTGGGGACTGTGTAGAAGGTCCTGCATCATTGCTAGGGTTCATGAATTCAGCGACCATATCATCACTCAAATCGTCCACAGTTGGTATCGCCACTGCACTGCCATAGTTTAATCTTGTTCCCTCATTACTCCAACTTGGTAGGTTCGAAGGTGGAATTATGTTAGTCATGTAGGGGGTGTATGAATGTTGGTCTTGAGATGAATTAAGAGTGAAGGTTTGTGAGGGGTAAAAAGGAACTTGTGGTTGGGGTGTTTGGTAGCTGTGTTCTTGTGGGGTAGGTTGAGAGAATGAGTATTGGTTATATTGGGTGTATGAAGAGGTTGGGTTTTTATTGTTGGGTGTTGAAGGGGGTTGGTTTAAATGATATGTAAGGTTGATGGTAGTGTTGGCTTGGGGTATAAGGTTGTTGTGTTGGGTTGAAAGGTTGTTGGGTGTTAAATGTTTGTTGTTGGGTGCTAAATATTTATTGTGGGGTGTTAAATATTTGTGGTTGGGTATTAAATATTTGTTGAGGGGGTGTTAAATGTTTGTGGTTGAGTGTTACAAGGTTGTCTGGTGTTTTGGAAGTTTGAAGAAGTTGGTTGGTTACGAGGGTCCCATAAGTATCTATTTTGTGATAGATACAAAATGGTCACAAATCTATACCAATTCATGTATTCTCTATTGGGTTTACATTCGGTATCCATGACATTTTCTTGTAGAACAGTTCGACGATGATTTATCCAGTGTTGACGTTCTTGTCTGTATGGTCTCTCCAATTATCGAATTTCCATTGCTCGTTCGTTGTATTCTTGCGGTACCTCTCCATGCATGTAGGTGGACCAGGAATGTCTTGTTGAATTCTGAATTGGAATTTCACCCTATCTGAATGATGCATTTCAACATAAGTGAAACAAAATATGAATGTTGTAGAACTCCACATGTCGCTTTCAGTTGGATCCTCATCTTCAAGTTCAAGATAGGATTTCCATAGAAATTATAATATAGTTAAAAAGGGATTAGAGTTTAAAAAAAATGTTAATGACAATAGTATAAGTGTAAGAGACAATACATCATCTTCCTCAAAATGATCGAAGAACGTCCCATATCCAGGAGCACAATGATGAGGTTTTTTTTTTCGTAATTCATCCCATACGCGGACCACCTATGAAATAGATAATTAGTAAAAATTATAGATGAAAAGTATATATACATAAACTTTGTATACTTACTTGGTTGCATATGGAAAGTGGTATAGATTGGGGTTTATTGGCGCCAGTCTGGGCATTTTGGACTATCCCCAAGCTTGAATCAAAACGCCACAACCAGCAAAATTATGCATATTTTTTCTTGCGCATCTACACAAATTTCTGTATAGATGCGCTAAGATAGCAGCGCCCCAACTATATCTACTTATTTGACTTAAATCTTCTAATAATGGTAAACTTTGAAGATGGATAGTATTACCATTAGTATCAGGAAATAAAAAGCATGCAAAAAGCAATAAAATATAAATTCTAGTTTTATAAATTTTGAGTTCCTCGGGAGACTCCGCGTTTAATATCAAAGCACCATAAAAAAATTTTAGCCATGTAATTTTAAGGCTTTTCCCCTTCCTATCACCTTGTTCCAACGACACCCCCAATAGTTCTTCCACTAAATCTTACTTAACGTCTGTGTCACCAACAACCGCTAACCCATCCACACGCAAACCTAAAAACATATGGACATCCTCCAAGGTCACCGTGCATTCACCTGTGGGGAAGTGAAATGTGTGAGTTTCTGGTCTCTATCTTTCGCACAAGGCGAGAAGAAATTTTTGATCAACTCCATATGAAGTTATATTGATGACGTGACCGAGACCCGCTTGAACCAAATATGGTTTGATAATTTCATCAGGCTCTATGTACTTATGTGAGCGTGGTTTGAATTTTTTTTCATCCTACAAAAAAAGTATATAACATTATAAACATAGTTATAAATAACATTATAAATAATTATAAACATTATAAACATAATTTAACAAAATTATAAATATTATAAACAACAACATAAATATTATAAACAACAACATAAATATTATAAACATTTTAAATATTTTAACAAGTAACAATTTAAATATTTTAAATAACATTTTAAATATTTTAACAACTTAAATATTATAAATAAGGTATATAACATTGTAAATAACTTAAATAAGATTATAACATTGTAAACATTTAAATTAAGATTATAAAAATGTAACAACTTAAATATTTTAAATAAGATTATAACATTGTAAACATTTTAAATAAGATTATAATGTTATTTATATTTTAACAATTAACAACTTAAATATTTTAAGTAACATAAATAACATTATAACATTTTAAATAAGATTGTAAATATTTTAAATAAGATTTTAAATAAGTAACATAAATATTATAAGATTTTAAACATATAAATAAGATTAACTTACATATGATGCAATGTTTGCAAGTGTGACTCGATGATCTTCTCCTAAGGTTAGCAAAACCATTTTGTAAGAGTGGAAGTAGAGAGTTTTATAAGATTGATAGTGTGTTGAGATACATTTATAATAGAAATGATATGGTATTTATAGGAAATGAATATGATTAATGTGAAAAAAATGTAGGTAAGAAATTAATGTGTAGAGTTGAATTAATGTTGGTATGTGTTTCTTGCATGCATGGCAAGAATTTATGTTTGTTGACTATCGCCCTTTGAATGGGCGACAACTTTATTCGTGTCAGGCAATCGGGAACTGAATGGGCGGAAAGGAGGTAATTTGTCTGACATCCGGGGGCTGAATGGGCGGCAGAGATATACCTTGTAGCAGCTTTTCTGGACAGTAGGGCATTGAATGGGCGGTTGCATTAAATTTTTGTCTCTTCCGCCCATTCGATGGGCGGCATAGTTCAACTCATCTGTTGACCAGAAGTCGCATATAATATTCATGCATGCAAGTTAGGGAAATGCCAAAAATTAGACCTTTTCTTTATAACTAGGAGTAGTTCTCATAATTTTTTCATCATCTTCAAACATTTTCATATTATTTCTTCTTGCATGTTCTACACAAATACCAATCATTTTCATCACATATTCTTATACAATGTCTACTATTCAACAATATATTGTAAATGCTCATTACAATGGGAGTGTTGTTGTATCTGATGAAGTGGGTTTGATCTTTGGAAACACTGACGTAAGTCGTTTTAGTGTTAATAAAAGATCGTCATTCCAACATTTTAAAGATAGGGTAAAGATGAAGATGCAAGCAGAATCAGTTACACAGATTACATACAGAAATGATGTCCATTTCGGGGACCATCACTTTAAATTTATTCCATTAAAGGTTCGTAACGACGAGGATGTTGAAACGATATTCTCGAATCATGAACGTTTTGGGTTTCCGTACATTGAATTATATATAACATTTGAACATTGTCAAGAAACTCAAAATTTTCAGGTCATCAATGCATTCGTAGAGGAAACGCCAACCATAATTCCACACGAAGATGTTAAAGAAGAAGACGACGAAGAAGAAAATGAGGCACAAGTTTATGATTTATATACTACTTTGTTTGAGGAAGGAAACAGTGTCAACGAAGTCAACAGAGATGAACAACACATTCCAATTGGGAATGTATTATGCCCACTGGCTCATATGACAAACTTGCCGCTAAATGTAGAAGGAACGTCATTTGAATGGCCACGGAATCCTCATATTCTAATGGAGGGTGACATAGAAGTCGCTAACCAATTTAAAAATAAAGCTGACTGTGTGCTTGCCACTAAGCAATATCACATGAAGCACTGCATGGATTATAAGGTGACGGATTCCGACAAGAAGAGATACATAATTTGTTGCAAAAATGATTCATGCAAGTTTCGTCTATTGGCGTCCTACCGAAAAAGAAGTGACTTGTGGGAGATAGGCATTATGAACTCACCACATAGTTGTTCAACAACTATGTTTAACCAGGATCATCAAAAACTAACCTCGTAGTTAATGTCTCAGGTATTAATGTCATTTGTAGATAAGGATCCTTCTATTAAGGTTAGTGTTTGCATAAGTAAAATTGTTTCTGAATAAAATTTCACCTTTTCTGCGCCTCCAAACGATTTTTCAAGAATCTCCCAAGCTTCTTTTGTTGACTCTACATCACTAACCTTTTCAAAGTTATCTAGACCAACACATTGATGGATTGTAAAGAGAGTTTTATAATCTTTCTTCTTCAATTCTTTATATGTTGTTTTCTTTTGATCTGTCGCAATTTCTGCAAGTGATGATAATCCCTCCTTCACAAGATCCTAAAGATCTTGGTAACAGAAAACCACCTTAATCTGGTTGCACCAATTCTCATAATTATCTTTCTTGAGAATTGGAAGATTTGTTGGAAAGTGACCGTTCGGGTGATTCATCGTCATCACAGTTGTTCTTCTCTTGAATCAAAACTAGAGCTCTAGATACTAGATGTTAGAATTCAACCACGATCTATGGTGAATTCTTCTCAATCTTGATCTCAAGATAGTTATGTAATGACAATAAACAAAAACAAGAATACATTTAAAGAAGATGAGTATGAACTGCAGAGTAACTCTCTGCCCACAACTGTGGAATTTTATTATGAGTTTGCAACTGCAAAACCGTGATTATCAAACTGGATTATTATAATGAAAAAAGTTCCTCCCTATTTATAGATTTAGGTTAACTTGTATTTCAAGTTAAATCGCAAACTATAAAAACTCAAAAATATCTAACCTAATATTTTTAAATCAAATCTGATCTTTCTGAATTGTGATAAGTGGGTTTCAACTTTCAAAATCTAATGACAAAATCAACTTGACTACTTTGTATAGGAAAACAATACAAGAGATTAATTCTCAAGCACATTCAACGTAAAACTTTTCACATAATCAATTAATAACAAATCATCATTCATAACACTTCTAAAATAAACGTTTTTAGGAACCCAACTATGTGCATTCAATTAAATATTATAATTATTTGTCACCCATATCCTTTCTAATTCAAACATATTACTGTCCCTTTCCAAGTTCAATGCACATTTTATTTAATATTTGAGTATACTTTAGCCATGTCGTATATTAACCACCAACTTAATCACTTAATTGATATTAAGTTTTCAATTTATATGGTTGTCATCGAAGGTGTGTAAGACAGATTACTACTACTCGGATTTTCAAAATTTTCACACTTATAAATCCTTGTCACTATTAAAATATGCTTAAATATAACTATTTAACCTTCTGTTGTTTTGTTTTATCATGATTCAACTGTGATTAATCTGCATAAAGTCTCTAAAAACTTGAAAGAGCTTCCAAATGAAGGCATCTACGTAAAAGATGAAAAATTTGGAGGTTGCCTGCTATGACAAAACTGGCCAGCTTGTGAGGGATAAGGGAATCCCATCAAACTCAATATCTTAATCTTATTATATAAAAATTAGGACAAATAAAAGAAGATTTTGGTTACAAAAATAATCAAATTAATTGTCAACGAGCGTTTTGGTTCATTCCCCTCTTATAAGTACTTTATTTTCATGATTTAAGTGGACTCTTTATAACAAGAAAGGGTGAGTAGTGACCAACATTTTTTTATAATAACAAACAAAACCTTCCACGCTTTTTTTTAATAGCTTATAACCAAAAGTGCTTTCCGACCAATCATTAATCTCCCCCCTCTAACGACATAATGCTTTTATTTAAATGTTTCTATGAACTGGCAGCATCTTTGCTTGAATTTCAAGGTTCTATTAAAGTCGAATTTTTTCAATCTCATTACACTTGTGACATTTTCATCTACATTCTAGAAAATGGGAAGACAACCATGTTGTGATAAGGTTGGTTTGAAAAGAGGACCATGGACTATTGAGGAAGATCATAAGCTTGTCAGTTTTATTCTTAATAATGGGATTCATTGTTGGAGAGTTGTTCCTAAACTTGCAGGTAACTCTTTTAATTAAAAGTTGTTTTTTCACATGGTTTTGTTTGGTTGATAGATAAGTTTGTGTTTTAAGTTGTGCATTTTTTTTTAAGGTCTTTTAAGATGTGGAAAAAGTTGTAGATTGAGATGGATTAATTATCTTAGGCCAGACCTTAAGAGAGGTGGATTTACTGAGATGGAAGAGGATCAAATTATCCAACTACATGCACGGCTTGGTAATAGGTATATTATACTGCGATCAATTTGTCGTCTTAAATTTTTGTAGACTTTGCGTAAATTAGTTATAATTTAACTATGACAAAACAAATAGAAAAGTTATGTTTAACCATGATTTAGTTATAACAAATATTTTATTAAGTCCTATTTAGTCACGGTTTAACCGTGACAAATATTGGACTCTGTGCGGTAGGAAATCTTGCACGGCTCTGAATATTTGAATTGCACTTTGCAGGTGGTCAAAAATTGCTTCGCATTTTCCTGGGAGAACAGACAATGAAATTAAGAACCATTGGAACACAAGAATCAAGAAGAAGCTAAAGTTCCTTGGTTTGGATGGTGTAAACCTCAAACCAATTGAGCAAAAGCAACAAACTAATAATGATGATAATGATGATGATCACAAAGACAAAACCAACCAACAATTAAATATTTCAGAAAGGATTGAAGAAAATATGGAGAATGTTAAGTCCTTGGATGGTAATGGCACAAAAGAAATGAAAAAAACAGAATTGAAAAGAGAAGAAAACAAAGTCATTTGGGATGATAGTGATGAACTTTTAAACAAGTTTGAAATGCTATGTTCAAATTTGGATTTGGGGACATGGATAAGCCAAGACACCAACATTAGTACTACTACTAATTCTGTTTCTAGTTCTTCTGTCTCTTTGGATGATACTAGCCACATTTCTTTTGATGAATCCTCTTACTTTCAAAACTCATTACACCAATGGGTTGATGATATGGATTCTATTCTCTCATGGGATGGTTTCAATCCCCTTGATCAAGATATTTCTTTTTTCGATAAATAGGAAATAAGTGGCTTATATTCATTATACACGTCAATATCAATGATAATTTAAGAAAATGAAAATAATTGATGTAATCGCATGTGTCAATATATGTCAATGTCTGACTCTGACACATGTCAACCACCTGACACGCGTTGTATTAGAAATGTTGCAGCTACCTATTACATAATCACCTCTTATAAACTACCCTATGTTTACAACATCTCAAGCAATAAAATGATATAGTAATGTATAAAACAGTGCCACTTTTATTTTGGCTGCAATGATGGTTAATGTGATGATGATTCAATATTAAATGCAAATTGAGTTTTTTTATGTATATATTTGTTTGGATTCAGCTCCTCAACAATATCCCTTAATTCCACCATATGTGGGGTTGAGTTGATAAGATCATCCCTTTTTCTTATCTATTTTCTTCCTTTGTTTTATCAAAAGTAGTCACACTCACATCATTGTGAAGAGTCTAACCTTTTTGTACACATTTTATTGCAACAATACAGGTTATATTTATGCTACATTGAAAAGTTAGTTATGTTTTTTCAAGTTTCATAATATGGTATCAGTTACCATGAAAAGTTAGTTAGAGTTTTTTACTTCATTCTTTTCAATTTTCTACTGAGTTTTCTGTTTCTTCTTCATTTTTCCGAATTCTGTAATTCTGTTCTTTGATCTTTCTTGACTCATTCATCAAGAACACATTGTTCTTGATTTCTTCTTTTCTTGTCCTCACCATATTTCTTTTCCTCCTTTTATAACATAAAACCTGTCAATGTTACATTACCTAATGGCAGTTCACTATCTATTTAACATGTCAGGAATGCCTATTTTCACCAAACCTTTATTTTCAGTGTCCTATATTACAAAGATTTTAATCTTAATCTCCTTTATGTATCCAAACTATGCCAGTCTTTGAAATGTTCCATTAAATTATTTGTTTATAACTGAGTTTTACAGAACTTGAGTACCAAGAGGATGATTGGTTTTGATAAACAATTTGAAGGCTTAAATAGGCTGCAAATTGATACACAAGTTATTGCTAATTGCACAAACCTACCTCATATGCCTAAATCAACTGTGAGATATTGAATCAAACTCTAATATAATCGAAGTCTGTTAGCGAGTAATGCGTGTTGTAGTCGAAGTTTATTCTAACATGCATTAGTTAATATTACTAGGTTTATTAGCATGTTAAATTGGACCTTACTTGTAAGCTCAATTGTTTAAGTTAAATTGTACCCTAAGTTAGCTTGTAATGGGTAATTGTTAAAAAGTCCATTAGGTTAGTGTGCTAGTTTTCTTATAAATAACATGTTAGTCTCTCATCTTGTATAAGGAAAAATAGGAAGATAAAATTCGAATTCAAGAGAGAGAGATTATTTGTTATTCTTGTATACTTGTAATCTTGTTTGATAGAGAAAGGAAAGAATAACAGTTTATAACCAATCCTTGTTGTTTTTTCTTGTTCTTCTTTGCTTGTTTTTTTTGTTAACCCTAACCCTTGTGTGTTTCTTGTCTACAAAGAAACTGTTTATATTTTGTTACAAGACATCCTATTCACAACAAATTGGTACGGTGAGCGTGGAGAAGATGCCTTCAATAAAGTATGAGATTGAAAAGTTCACCGGAGTGAACGACTTCGGTCTGTGGCGCTTGAAGATGAAAGTCCTACTGGTTCAGCAGGGTTGTTTGGAAGTGTTGAAGGGAGAGACAGCCATGGATGCTGCGTTAACGAAAGAAACAAAAGACGGTCACGATTGAGAAAACCCACAGTGCAATATTGTTGAGCCTTGGTGATAAGGTTCTTTGACAGGTATCAAAGAAGACTACAACATCGGGATTATGGGTGAAACTTGAAAGTTTGTACATGACCAAATCTCAGGTGAATCGATTCTACCTGAAGCAAGCTTTATATTCATTCAAGATGAGTGAAGACAAAGTTTTGGCTGAGCAGTTGGATATGTTCAACAAGTTGATTCTTGATCTTGAAAATGTTGATGTGAAAATCGACGATGAAGATCAAGCATTGTTTCTGTTGTGTGCTTTTCCTAGAACACATGCTCACTTCAAAGAAACTCTCTTGTATGGAAGGGAGTCCCTGAGCTTTGAAGAAGTTCAATCAGCCTAGTATTCTAAGGACTTGAACGAACAAAAGAAGCATAAACCTTCGACGGTGGGAGAAGGTTTGGCCGTTAAGGGAAAATTCTTGCGAAAGGATGGTAAGTTCAACAAGAAGAAAGGTAAAAGTCAGCAGAAATCTTATAATGGCAAAACATCTGGTATTTGATGTTATCATTGTAAGAAGGAGGGTCATACAAGAAAGGTGTGCCCTGAACTCCTGAAATATCATGGAGGTAAGGATAATGGCAACGCAACCATTGTTCAAGATGACTTCGACTCATCTAATGTTCTTGTGGTTTCAAGTGGCGACTCAAGAAAAGAGTGAATTATGGATTCAGGTTGCACTTGGCACATGACTCCAAACAGAAAATTGGTCGAGGAGCTATGTGATTAAGATGGTGGATCGATGCTGGGAAACAACAAATCTTGCAAAATTGCAGGTATTGGATCTGTAAGATTCAAGCTCCATGATGAGTCAATAAGGTTATTAACTGAAGTCAGGTATGTACCTGATTCGAAGAGAAATTTGATTTCTCTTGGTGAATTCGACAGGAAGGGATATGTTTTTTAAGGAGAGAAAAGTATCCTAAGAGTCATGAAGGGATGAAGGAAGTCTTGAGAGATGTGAAGAAACAAGGCTTGTATACCCTTGAGGATGAGGTTGTAAGTGGTTTGATAAATGTTACATCCACGAAACCTGTGTCGAAGACAGAATCATGGAACATGAGATTGGGCCATGTCAGCGAAAGAGACCTGGTCGACTTGGGGAAGCAGAACCTGCTAGGAGGTGAAAAAGTCGAAAAGTTGAAGTTTTATGAATCTTATGTATTTGGTAAATCCTGTAGGGCGAAGTTTAACAAAGGCAAGCAAAGAACACATGGATGTCTGAATTACATTCATGCTGATCTTTTGGGGCCTGCAAGAAATCCTTCACACTCAGGTGCAAGGTATTTTCTATCCATCGTTGATGACTATTCCAGAAAGCTACGGGTATTCATCCAGAAGACGAAGGATGAAACTTTTAAGAATTTCAAAAGTTGGAAGGTTCTGGTCGAAACTCAAACTGGCAAAAAGGTTAAGAGGTTGAGAATCGATAATGGCCTTGAGTTTTGCAACGAAGCGTTCGACAGTTACTGTGTTGAGTCTGGGATTGCAAGGTATAAGACTGTAGCAGGTACTCTTTAATAAAATGGTTTAGTTGAGAGATTCAATCGAACAATCCTTGAAAGGGTTAGATGCTTGTTGATTAGTGCTGGATTGAAGAAGGTGTTTTGGGAGAAGGTTGTTTCGACAACATCCTATCTGATAAATAGATGTCCATCGACTGCCTTGGGAATGAAGACACCTGAAGAAGTTTGGTCGAGACATCCACCTAGTCTCAACAGACTGAGAGTATTTGGCTGTGTGGCCTATGCTCATATTAGGCAAGACAAGGTCGAACCTAGAGCTCTGAAATGCATGTTCATGGGATACCCTGAATGAGTCAAAGCTTATAGGCTATGGTGCCTAGAGCCAGGTCACATGAGGTGTATCACCAGTCGAGATGTAGTTTTCAATGAAGCAGAGATGGCTTTCAAGAAAACTGATGATGCTGACGAAGAGCTGAAACAGAGAGTGACTTTTATTGAGGTGGAGCATGTTGATGCAGAATTGTGTATCCCAGATGAAGTCAAAGAAGACACAAAAGATGTTGTCGAAGATGAGGAGACTGATAAGACTACTTGCTAGCAAAAGACAGATCGAGGATGTTAGAACACAGATTGGTTCTTAGTTATATCTCTATGTTTTGATGATAACATTAATGAAATTTTGTATTAGGAAGTTATATACTCTAAATTTGTTCAAGTATTTTTGTTGCAGATATTAAATTTAATATTCTTCTGAAAGCAAAAATGAATCTGAACATTGAACTACGCAAGGCTCTGAGCGTCAGAAGCATCTCGTTAGAGGACTCTGAGCGCTGCCTACAGAAGACTCTGAAGCAGAAGCTACAGAAGCATCTGAAGCGTAGCTAAAGAATTTGTATGAAGAGTTTCAAGCATTGTTTTTCAGAAGACTCTGATAGTACTGTTCGCTGCAAGTACTGAGGATCTGATATCCAAACTATGCTCTGATTGTTACTCACGCTGAAGCATACTTGCTGCAACACTCTGATACAACAAACTCTGATAACATTAAGACTCTGATCACTCAAGGCTCTGATGTTGATTGATGTGAGATAGAAGCTTGTTGAAGAAGATTATTCAAAGATATATCCGTTGGCATATTCCAAACGACTATTTCCTCTTTTATACTAGACACAAGAACTCAGGCAAAAAGGATTTCTCTGAACGTTCTACTTCTAGGAAAGGTCAAGTCATGTGAAGACAAAAGGCTACATCTACTTTGCAGTACACGGTCTTCAAGCTTGCAACGTCTTGGATGTCTTTGTCTATAAAAGCAAGCCTTCAACAACTTTCTACAGTTGACGAATATTGACGAATCTATTGAAAACTCTCTCAAAGCTCTAATATAAATTATATTTCTTTGTTGAATAGTTTCATTCGTTCTTAATCTTATGTGTATAAATCACAGTTGTGATATAGCTTTCATAGAAGCATTTAAACACTTGTTTAGTTTACATTTGATTGTAAAAGTTCCTTAAGAAGACCAAGTTGTGGTCAGTAGTTCTTGAGAAGACTAAGACAGTTGTTCTTAGTGGTTCACATTGTAATCTGTTTGATTATAGTGGATTAAGTCCTTGAGGAGAAAGGAAAATTACTCTTGATAGGGTGGACTGGAGTAGTTGAGTTCAACGAACTAGGATAAAATTCATTGTGTTTTTATTGCCATAATATTTTCAAAACCCTTATTCAACCCCCCTTCTAAGTGTTTTCTCACCT